TTAATTCCATGTTCATGAATAAATCTAGACTTTCTAAAACCATTTAAATATATTATTCAACAAAATTCATACAGTAAAAGAATACATCGTTTCAATTAACTACTTCAAAACAAGCAAAATTTATACCAAAGCATAAATAYATGGGAAATTGACCAAAATGACCAATTTTTTAATTAACTTGGATATCCAACTCGCTATGCGAGCCGACTAATGTTCGGAGTCAYCGCATTTGAACCTTCGTGGCCATAAGAGGATTTTTGTTTCTTCTTGGATTTTAACCTGGGACCTCCAGACATTTTTTTACTTTTGGAGCCAAGTTCAAACAAATTAGGCACCACCCTTTTGGTTAAAATGACTATTTTATACAATGTACCTTAACAAAATGACCATTTTTCAGAGTTTTATAACAAAAAGACCATGCAAATCGCCCCTAGGAACTATATCTTTTATTCATTTTCATCAATGTGATTGAATTATTATTATTATTTTATATAAATGATTTTTAAAAAGTATATTGGTATGATAAATTTATAGAATATTTTAATAATATAAATGATGTTGAAATATGTAAAATAAAGAATATGATAAAGTTGAAAATTTGTTGGAGATGTTGGATACATGTTTTATTCATAATAAAATTTTATTTTTTAATTTATTGATTCAATAAAAAAAAGTTGTTGTAACATTGACTGTGTCTAGGACTAAGCATCGGAAACCGGGTACCTACCTTTTTGAACTTGAACCGCTGCAGAACTGTTGGTTTCGGAACCGGAACCGATGTGGTTGGTATCAGTTTTGGATCCTAAGATATGGAACCGATCGGGACTGTTTCCAGTTCTCGTTTTTTTGGAAACGTTAACCGTTGGGTATCCAGAAGCGGAACCAACGGGTACTCGTTATTTTTTTTAATAAAAAATATTTTAAATGTTTATTATATTTAATAAGCTAAAATTTACCTGCGAGAAGTCAATTTTAGCAAATTATTTATGTAACTATTAGTTTTTAGTTTTTATCGGATTAGTTTTCTACCGTTTGTAGTTTCTATCTTTGTAAGTTAGTATTTTATAACAGACTAACAATTAACTTTTTTATAGTATTAAATGATATAAGTAAAAATATAGACATCAGGTACTCGGTAMCGAAACMAGTTCCCAAATATAAAGAAYCAGTGTAACCGGTTCCAGTTTGTTCATTCTAGGAACCACTGGTCCCGAGGCCAGTCTCAATGAATTTTAGCCGGATACCCAACTTTTCTCACTCTTAAAAAGACTTAAATTCATCTCCAACAGATTCTCTATTTTATAAATTTTAATATAAACCATATTATTATAATATTATCATCTCAATACATTTTTTTATAAAAAAAGATAAATCAATCTCTTTCGTGGAATTGGATAAAATAATTATTTATCTTACATATTATTAAGTTTTAGAGAATTTTCTATATCTGAAGTTTTTTCATGATTCTTTATTCTAAGAACAAGATAATAAAACTGTTGAAATATTTTAGAGAAAAAAAAACACAATTTTTCTATTTTAGAGAGCTGAATTTTTTTAAAAAGTACTTTAAAAACTTTATTTAAAATGATAACTTATGAAAGAGATTGATTTTTTTTTTTTGAGAATTTTTCAAATTAAAAGAAGGGGGAGGGAGAATGAACTTTTTGTTCTTCCCAATAAAATTAATTGAAGAAAAGAGATGACAAAGTTTTATATTAATTGATATTTTCATAATACAAATAGATCTTTAGGGTTTATGGTTTAGAGTTTAGTTTTTTGTTAAAATTATACAGAACTTGTATTTAAGGTTGTGTTTTTTTTTTTTAACAAGTTGGGTTCCTATGATTGCATTTTTTTAACGAGTTGTATTTTTTTTACTAACCTGAATATCTAATCCATTATGCGAGCCGACTAATCTCAGAGGGTTTTTACATTTGCATCACCGCATTTGAACCTTCATGGCCACAAGGGGGTTTTTATTTCTTCTTGAATCCGAATCTGTGATCTTCAGACACTTTTGATCTTTGGAGGCCAAAATTAAACCAATTATGCATCACCATTGTAGTTAAGAGTTGTATCCTTATGGTTGTAACTTTTTAATTAGTACGACTCATAAATAAATCAATAATATGGGTCCTTATCCACCATTTGGTTGCATTAATGACCAAACTTATTGTAAAATTACAATTACGTGGACACGATCTATTAAATTTTCAATATATATATATATATATATATATATAAACGATTAAAAACATATAACCACAAAACATGTAATTACTCTATAATATATTTAAAATAAATTTTTTATTGAAATTAAATTTAACTTGTTTGGTTATTATTGTTGGAGGTGTTCTAAGCCTGTAATAAATATAAATATAATAATTATGAAAAATCATTTTGTTTTTTTAAGACAATTTAACGATTTTTTAAATTTTTTGATGAATTAAAATGTTTATTTTTAAGGTGGTTATTTTATTTGGGCATTTTTTAATGAACACATAATATTTTTATCTCAAACTATTATATATATATATATATATATACACACATAATATTTTTATCTCAAACTATTATATATATATATATATATATAAAGAATATCAATTTTGTATCAAACTAAACCAATTAACATGTGTACCAATCGTATCAATAAAATTGCTTTTTGGTACTAGTTATAATCGATTAGTAGTACAATACCAATTATACAAACTCGGTTAGTATATGGTAGTGGAAGTCTCTTATCATTGTAATTAGGTATAGGAATTGTAACCATTCATCACCCTAATTTCATTATGAATAATTATCAAATAATTATATTCACTTTGTGCTATATTATAATAGCCTCTTAATCATTTTAACCATTTAATTATTCTGTACCAAACTATTAAGATAAATTTTGATTTTTTTTAAAGTTTAATTTGCAAAACATAGTTTTTTGTCCTGTTTTTTTAAGCCATTTTACCCGACATCTCTTATTTTGACTCTAAAAAAAAAGTTTGACTTTTTAACAATTAAAAAAATATTTCAAATTTATATGAAAAGTAGCCTTTTGTTTTGTTTTAAGATAAAATATTAAAGTAGACTATTAATAGTTTAGGGTATAATTATACTTAACATGAGAAATGTAAGAAGAAATCTTCATCTTTTGATGTAACAAAATGAGATGTACCAGATCAATTCCCATATCAAACATGATTTATGGGTGAGTTTAAGATTAAAGTAATCAAGAGTCCAGATTTCTTCTTACGCTTCTCACATTAACTTACTTCTCAAACGATCATTTGCCTAATAGTTTATGCATAAAATTTGATAAGTAATTATATGGTAATTATTTTTAAATCCAATAAACTAGTACAAATCTGTAAACAAGTTTTTTTATGTTTTGTTTCACATATGAAACAACATTTGTGAAAATGCTGTTTTTACATGTGAAATGTTCATTATTGTTTTGTTTGTGGGAAGATATAGTCCTCGACATTTCACAAATGAAACAACACATGCAAACTGGTTTGGAAGTTTATACAGATTATTTGGTTTTTGAAATAAATTTTAGATTATTTATCTTTAAACGAGTAACTGAATTAATTCTACATGTGTTTCTAACACAAGGGCTGTGTTACCAAATGTGTTTTGGATAAACGTCTACCTGCAATAGCTACCATCTTACTTTCCTTATTGCCTAACATTTTGCAACTATAAAATGGATCGTTGTTAAGCGTTTTTATCTGGTAATCACTTATTGGGTAAGAGACTTCTCTTTCACTTAACGAGTAAGAACTATCCATCATTGATATGTTTTTATTTGGAATGATACTAATCCCAACAAATTGTGACTGCAAGAAATCAACCCTGATAAACCCCGTGGCCATAATATGACAGAACAAAGATCAATATTCCACATTTCACATTACTTTTATGTGGAAAAAACAATAATAGAGTGAAACAAAGTGGAATAACAACCCCCACCTATGAAACAAAAAAAATCTATATTTTACCAATATACCTTCAAAATGAAATTTAATTATGTTTTAAAATACCAAATATGTCTTMTTCTTTACATTTTATCTATTTTTTGAACTTAATTCTATTATTCTTAAAATGTTATTTTTATACGTTTTTATATATTTTAATTAATTTATGTAATTTATTAAATAATAATAAAAATATTATTAATAATTTTTATAAGCGATATTTAGTTAATAATTAAATAGTTTATGATAGAATATATATTAATTTATAACTATAAGGGTAGTTGTGCAATGCAGCGAGATACATCTCGATTTTAATGTTTCGTTTTCTTTTTTGTCTTTGTCGATGTTATAATACGATTTAATGTGGTTTTGAGAAAATTGATAATGTTTTTATTTTTGAATAAAATATAAATTTAAAAGTAACATAAGATTTTATTTTTTTGTGTAATTTCTTTAATTCAAAATTTTATTATAATTTAGTTTAGATTTAATAACGAAGTAATTTATTTTTCTAATTAAAATATAGTTTTTTTATAAAAATAATAATTAAGTATTCAGTTAAAGCTCAATGATTATCTTAATTATATTTTAGATTTTTATATTTAGAATTAAAAGTTTATCTTGTATTTGATTATATTTATCGACAGTTAATTATACGAATTTAAATTTAGAGTTTTAATAAATTGGACTTATACACATTTATTTGTAATCTTGAATTTTATGTAATATGAATCAATAAGCAGTTTTTCATGCATAAAAAATGATTTTTAAGAGTTTTTGTCATATACTTTATAATATTGTATAAATAAGGTTTTTTCAAATTTTTTTA